CGGCGGTTGGGGCGCCCTCGCCTCTAGAGGCTTGGTCCCGTCGGGTCTGTCCGCCCTGCCGCAGTAGCCCGAGTGGTGGCTGCGGTTTAGCAGTTTTCCTTCTCGCCAACCTTCTACGCCGCAGCCTGCGCGACCACGGCTGCTTTGCCCTCGACCTTGCTGCTCCTCAGCTACTCTTGCAATCTTTCTCCGTTTCCTGGCTTCTAACTTGCAGGTTCCTTAGGGGACAGCGCACTAGCGAACGTCCCAGGCCAAACGTTTCTGAGAGGCAATCGAGGACTTTTCCTAGGGCAGTGGCGAGGCTGTCATCCTCCGCAGGACAGAGCGTCCGGGTGGCGTGGATTGGGGTCGCCAGGCGGATCCTGGGCTCCCTGGGTCCTGTGTGGCCCATGCCGCCCGCCCAGGACCATTAGCCAATACCTCCTTCGTTCTCAGTCTCTTTTTCTGCAAGTTGCATAAAGTTGAAAGCTCTTGCTTCACCTCCACCCCGCCCCCAAATCTTGACTACACCTCGGAAAGGAGGTGTACTCGAAAGGACTCTCATTTGTCAGGGGAGGAGCTCTACAATTATATCTTCATTCAGTGAGAGTTAGTCAGTGAGTCATTAAGGAAGATGGGTATTCTGGCTTCCAGTTTCGTAGTTAAGGCTTGTGGTTGAAGCTTTGCTCCGCGGTATTCTCTATTTCAAATTACATTTCAGATTTCTTTAAAACGTCATTGTAGATCCTCCTCCATTTCCCCAGGAGAACTGAATCCTATACCCCTTCTTGAGGTCTTTGATAATCCCCTTCCCTTATTTTTTTCACTTAACGTAGTTTTTATTTCTTAATTCTGTGATTAGAGGAAACTCGCTGATTTGGTAAGGAGCCCTGAAAACCTTAGACCTGGCATCTGCTAGCATGATTATACCTTGTTCTCACCGTTTCTGGTGCATTTTGACCTCTGTTTCTCATGGGTCCATGAGTAAAATTACAGTACATTGAAGGGTTACCTCTGATATGAAATCTATAAAGTCACGATTATTTTTGTGTGTCTCAAGTTCTATAAAAACAACCTATTGATAACTCGGAGAAGAAAGAGTAGGGCATCCTCTGTCATTGTTTGTATATTTAGAATTCATTCAAAAAATTATAGAAGCCCAAAACTTGCTTGAAGGTAGGCCTACAGATTCATTTGTAAACATAAAATTTTTACTGTAACAAGAGTACTTTGTAATATGTGCATAATACTTAAAGTACTTTATTCTATCACACATGTTTTTATAGGCTTTGCTTTTGTAGATAAAACTGTTGTGACTTGACTATGGTCAAGAGAAATGTCAAAATGTTTTACTCTGATAGAAGTGGTTCTAGAATCAACAGTCTTCTGAATTTCCACATTCCCTACCAAAGAACTGAGTGTTATTTTTCAGTTATTGTTTAGTGAGAAACAACTGATGGTACAGATAGTACATTAGGAAGCTGCTATTTATCTGGTAGCATTTCCTTCTTCAATTTTATCTGGTGGCATTTATCTGATAGCATTTCCTTCTTCAATTGATGGTAGGCAGCTTTACTATGAAGTTTCAGGGACTATTTTACTGCATGTATTTGCTTTGTTTCACTGTTTTTCTAATGCTTTTTAACTTGGAATAAGCCACCTAGGGTTTCCTTGACATAGGTTTGTAATTCTTTTTCTGCCTGATTCTTGTAGTTCCTGGTCAACATAGAAATGTGGAGTATATTGACTGAGTCTTCATGCAGACAAGATCATTATGGTCCTGGTAGGTAGACCAGGTATCTATCTGGATACAAGGTAATATCTCTACTAGCTTACATCCATAAATGTATGTAAGATGTTTTTGGATGATAGTTTTTTGTTTTATTTTTGTCTTGGATTCCCTATCTTTTGCCAAATTATATCAGTTTTCTTTCCCAATGATAATGTTACATCAAGTATGAAGTTGCTCAACAAGCTATGTCTAGAATTAAGAACTATAATATATCAAAATTATTATTCTGGTAGTTCCAAAACTGAGTTTACTCCATAAAGTCATCTGTGATTTTACTGTGATTTCCTTTGGAGACCAATTTCTCCTTGTAAATCATTTTTGAAATTACTTGATAACAGATGATACTCTGTAGGTGAAAAAGACTAGATAAACAGTTTTTAATTTTGTTTTCATACAGCCTCTAGAATCCTATAATACTATACAAACTATATCTGAAGGGGGCTCATCAGTCTTTCTGAATGTCATGGGATTTACTTTCATTCTACTTCTATTGCATATACTAAAAATATATAATTTTCTTAAATGGACATATCTTAGTATATTATGATGAGTTCATAGCCCTACGGAGGCATTATAAGGAATTATTATAATAGGGTGGGGGATCAAGAATTTAATCTTATCAATTTTAGATCAATTATTAACATTACTATTTATATGCAAATTGAAGTGGCACAGATAATTATAAACTCCTTGAATTTTATTTGCAAAATATGCAAATTATCCATCCGAACCTTGGCATGCGATATAAATCCATTTGTCTGGAATTCAAAGTCAGTTCTATAAGAAAAGTTAACCACATTTCAGACTCACTTGTATTTACTTGGATACCTCAAGTTTCATTTATTTAAGAAGTGAGTACTCACTCCATAAGGCTGTTTGTTAGCTTGAGGGATAAAGGGAGGCAGGACAAGAGAGGGCCTTGTCTCTCAAATTGCTCACAGTCATAAGACTCCAACTAAGACATTGATCTCTGAGAATACACAGTCTCTTTTGGCACCTATACACACACACTTAACAATAAACAGTGATTAATAAAAGGGAGATGGCATAGACCTCATGTGCAACAGGAATTTAGAGGCATTTAAGACTGTTATAGTCTAAGAAAGTTTACAGAGGGAGGTGGATTGAAAGGAAGAGGGAAGGCTATTTAGGAAGGTAGTAGAACAGTGGAAGTAAAATTCCTTGAGTGCTTGAGACAAGGAGTAGTTTAATTAGGGCAGTTTAACTGTGGTTCCTGAAGCATGGTCCCCAGATCAGTAGCATCAGCATCACCTGAGGACTTGTTAGAAATGCATTTTTAGAGGCTCCATCTTAGGCCTTTCAAATCAGAAATTTTGGCATTGAGGTCCAGCATTCTATGTATTTACAAGCCAGCCAAGGGGTGGGGTTGTAGCTCAGTGGTAGAGCACTTGCTGAGCATGTATGAGGCCCTAGGTTCAATCCCCTGCAACTAAAAAATAATAATAATCAGCCTAATAAAGCCCTCCAGGAGGTTCTGATACATGCTAAAGTCTGAGAAATCACTGGAGCAGGGTGTTCCTGTATAGAAGGAATGGGCAAAACGAATTCGGAAAGATAGGCTGGGAACTCATTCATGAAGGACTTAGAATGTCAGGAGGAGTTTGTCTTATCCTGCACACCAAAGTCATTAACTTGGGTCTTGAGGGCTGAATTTGGCCCATAATGTGGTTTTTCTATTTTATTTATTTTAGTTGTAAATGGACACAATTCATTTATTTTATTTATTTATTTTTATGTGGTGCTGAGGATTGAACCCAGTACCTCACAATGCAATGCAAGTGCTCTACCACTGAGCTACAATACCAGGCCCCATAATGTGTTTTGTTTGATCTACATGGTGGTTTTTTGGATTTTGGGTGGAATTGTCATCAAATAAAAACCAGCAGATGTGCTTTTGATTAACTTGAAAAAAATGAGAAGACTTGACCATAAGGGGCCTATCTTCCATTATGGCCACAATTGGTGTAACAGCAAAAAACTGCTCCTTTAGATGGGGACATGTGCTTTCCAGTTGCCACAGACTCTATTACTTCCTGTTGTTAAAACAACATACTTTGGCCTGGGGATGTGGCTCAAGCGGTAGCGCGCTCGCCTGGCATGCGTGCGGCCCAGGTTCGATCCTCAGCACCACATACAAACAAAGATGTTGTGTCTGCAGAGAACCAAAAAATAAATATTAAAAAAAAAAATTCTCTCACTCTCTCTTAAAAAAAAAAAAGTCAATATAGACTGATGCCACAGGATCTTCCTCCTCTTTTTAAAAAAAAACCAAACATACTTTTACTCGTTTCCTGCCTGGCCTCTGTAGATATTTGAGTTTGTAACTTTTGTTGTGGATAGTGGGAACTTGATGAAAGGTTTAAGGAAAGTGACATCATTTATATATTGTTAATTCATTCAACAAACATTGGTTAATTAAACATGTATGCCAGGTTGTACTGTGCTAAGTAATTAGTGTTCAAAACACCTGTCATATGGTGGTTTACCACTTAGTGGGAGAACAATGAAAACAGCATTTTAGGAACATGATGAGGTATGCATTTGAGAACAGTAACATCTTGGTGACTGGTGTACCAGTTTAGGGACCATAACAGTTCAAGTCTAAAGTAATAAGGGCTAGGATTTAGGTATCAGCAGTGGGACTAAGAGGAAAAGATGGGAAAAAACTGAAAAGGAAGAATCATCAGTTCTTGATAAAAGGGTGGAATATAGAAAGCTTGAGAGGGCCGTTTAAAGATAATCAAAATGAGATACATTATAGGAAAGTTGTGCCACTAAAGAAACAGGAGATCAACAAGAGACTCCACTTAATTTCTCTGTGTATATGTGTAGAAGCAGAGGGTGGGGGGTGTGTTTAGAGGTACCAGTGTGAATTGTCTCTTGTTTTGAATTATTATATCGGGGGAGATACACACAATTTAAGTGTTTTTAAGAGGAAAACTTAATAGAAATATCAAGATTACATGCTTAGAGTTAGATAGCGCTCATCTCATCCTAGAATCCAAGGAAACTCCTGGAGAAAAGTTTAATTTGTAGTCACAAAAGTGTAAGAAGATGCTGGGCATGGTGGTGCACGCCTGTAATCCCAGTGGTTTGGGAGGCTGAGATAGGAGGATCATGAGTTCAAAGCCAGCCTCAGTAAAAAGTGAGGTGCTAAGCAACTCCGTGAAACCTTGTCTCTAAAGTATAAAAAAAAAGGCTGGGGATGTAGCTCAGTGGTTAAGTTCCTCTGGGTTCAGTCCTCAGTACCAAAATAAATAAGTAAATAAAATAGTTGAAGCAGTAGTTGTTTTTCAGTTGATAACAAGAAGGGAAAATTAATTTTTTACTTCTCTTCTCATAATCAAACTCTAAGCAGCTCCTAATGATACTGATTCTTGGCAATTACTCTTTTGTAAATACAGTAGTCCCTCTTATCCATCCATGGGGTTAGGGGAGATACTTTGTAAACCTAATATGGCCTGAAGCCATAGAAAGTACCAAATCCTATATGTATTGTTTTTTGCTACACATACTTAACTGTGATAAAGTTTAATTTATAAATTAGGCACAGTAAGAGATTAGCAACAATAATAATAAAATAGAAAAATCATAATAATGATATACTATAATAAAATTATTTGAAACTTATGAATTATTTATTTTTAGAATTTGCCATTTAATATTTTTTGATCATGATTGATTGTGGGTAACTGAAACTGTAGAAAGCAAAACAGCAGAAAAGGGGGTCTACTTATAAGTACTTCCCACAGTAGATAGGGGTTTGGAGGTAAAGCTTTAAATATATAATTTTTTAATTTGTTCTAATTAGTTATATATGTGCAGTAGAATGCATTTTGATACATCATACATAGGATTTTGATTCTTAACGGACAGGTAAGAAAAGGCTTTGTGACTTGTGAAAAAGGAGGCCTCAATAGCAACAGCTTTCTTTGTGCAGTGATTATTGTAGTTAAGTCATGCCTAAAACAATGGAGAATGAAAACATGCACTGCCTGACTCATTGGTAACAACCAGATGGGTTTCATTGTACAGAGGATCCTTTTGGACACTTGACTAATATTGTTTTGATTAAAATGGAATAAAATACAGAAAGAAGCAATCTACTTATAGGAAAGAATTTTATATTTGTTGATAACTAGAATGCATCAATTCTAATTCCTTTATTGAGAGATAAGGTATTTGATCTAAGAGTTAGAGGAACCTTAAAGAATATTTTATTCAACTACCCTTCTGATCTATGAATCCACTCTGGACATTGTGGTCAATTTTGGATGAGCCCAAGGCAAGGAGCCTCTTTTCCCACCAGTGTGAAACAACTCATATTACTGGAAATTGTTCCTGCTCAGTTTCTTGGCTCATAGGCTTGATAACAATTCCTTGGCAATGATCAAATAAAAGTCAATTTTTAATAAATCTTTTTATTTGTTTTATTGTCTTTTTGAAAATAATTGTTATAAAAATCTTCCAATGATTTTCAAATCTGGCCACTTGTCAGTATTGTACCTTTCTAACAAATATCTCTTCAGTATCTAAGTATTAATGCTACCATTTTATGATTGGAAAATTTTTTCTATATGTAGCATAAAATAAGTTACTATTCTGTTAAATATTTTCATTCTGTATCTCATTGTTCAATATTTAACTTCAGTTATATTTTTTCAATTATTAACTGTACCTATCTTACAATGATTTGTTTATTTTCTTCCAACTCTTTCCTAAATATATCTGACTTTTATTTGAAGTATTTAAATTCAGTTTCACTACCAGATGGGGTAATCCCAGCAGCTCAGGAGACTGAGGTAAGAGGATTGCAAGTTTGAGGCCAGTGCCAGCAATTTAGCAAGACCCTATCTCAGGATAAAAAATAAAAAGGGGTAGGGGATGTAGCTCAGTGGTAGTGCCCCAAAGTTCAATGCCCAGTATCAATAAACTGATTAATTAATTAATTTGGTTTCACTTAAGAAATAAACAGGACATTGTGTAAGTTTTAAATTTTTCT